TATTAGTAAAAAAAAATAGAAGTTACTAGACGACTTTGTGATACAGGTATATTATTTGATTAGTCTAAATATTTTTTTGCTTTTTTATGTCTTGCATGAGTAGCTCAACTAACTATTTTTTTCAGACTATTTGATTTTTAAATACTAAACACAAGTGTAAAGAACTTGATCAACCATTTTTTTAAAAAAATATTCAAAATATTTATTAAAAAGAATTAAATACAATAAATAAGAAATATCAGAATATAGATCAACTTAATTTATATATTATATCAAATTGATTACTAATGTTATTGTTATACTAATATTAAAATATAAAATTATATGCAAAGTTAAACTTAAAGTAAAAGTATCAAAAAAAGTATCATTAAATAGATGACATAAACAATTTTTAAAATACTTTTAATAAATAGTTATTGATTAATTATATTTGATATTATATTTACCTAAGATTTTGTTGTTGTATGAATAATAGTGAATCTTCTTTAAAAGGATATAAAATAAATATCATTTCTTTTTATATGACATATTACTCTTTTTTTATTTCTAATTCTTTTATAATATATTAACTTTTAAAAAATTTATTTAAAGATTTAAAAATGCAAAATAATACTCCAATTAATGTATTTGCACTTACTTTTGAAAAATGATAACATCTTTTTCTTATTTTACTTAATGTTAATCTAACTTTATCTAAAGCTTTAAATTTTAAACAATACTGTTATTTATATATTATATTAATTGCTATTAATTTATGTACGTAATGCTGTATGTAATATTATAAATAAGCAGGTAAAAAATAAAATAAAAAATTCATAAATCTATTGAATTATATTAATATAAAATAATAATGAATACTATTATATTTTCCAATAAGCTTTATAATAAAAATAATTAAATTCAAAGATTATAAGGACTATAAAGAAGTTCAGAAAAGTAATCAAAAAAAATTTAATTGGCATAAAATTTTAAAACTCAGTAAAGGTCAATATTTTAATTTTGAAGATTTGTATAAGGATGCTGTTTAGAATACATAAGAGGCAATAGTATTTTAACTAATCTTTCTATTGAATACTGCTAAGTTACTTATGTAGGTCTATTATTTTGAATTGAAATAAAAATATGTAGCAAGTAGTGATAAGAAATAAGTATTACTGAAAGTCATTTAGGATTATTTTGAAGATATTCTTTTTCATAATGTATAACAAATTTACAAAACAGTTTTTCAATTTCAGTTATCTCTACCATATTAATATTTTGTTTAAGACAGAGTTTAACAGCATACACAAATTTTGCCTACCTATTTAAATATCTTTCTAAAAAATAATTTTATAGAAGTGAAAGTGAGTATAAAATCATCCAATTTGACTAATCTTCTATTTTAAATGCAGCTAAATGTCACTAAATATCAATAAGTGATCATTTAAAATCAAGTGACATATTCTTTTTATTTTCATCATTGTATTTCCAATTTTATCTAAGCTCTATTAAAAAGTATATATTCAGAATTATCATCTTGATTCTCTTTAAAAAAGATACCAGACCAATATCAAAGTATTGCTAAAGCAACTTTTTCAAATAATCTATGCATAATATTAACAGAAAATAAATTTAAAAATTCAATAGATTTAAGTTTAAATAAAATACTTTGATTATATATACCTTTTTATTGTATTTCACGCTTAAGTGATAATCTATTTATATTTTTATAATATTAACATTATACATATAATCTTCATGTGTTTGTAATGGAAGACATTTAAGATTATATTAACTTTTTTAAATACTAGCTGGAGGTTTAAGTAGAAAATATATGTGCTAATTTTCTTTATAACATATTCTATAAATTGAACAAAAATGGCATACTCTATATGAGTTATGTCTAGTTGTATACATAATTTTAGCAAGTGCTAGAATATTACTAAACTAACTTAAAAGATGTACATGAAGAATAAACATACTTTCTGTCAAACTATTAAAATATTGAATACCTTTTTATAATTACTTTAATTCATCAACCAATGATCTTAAAAAAGAATTAAAGTTCTTTGATATTTTTGATCCTAGAATTAATATAGAGATCATTAAATTTTTACATTAAATACGTATATTAAGAGGTAAATTTGCATTTATTAAAAGAACAATTTAGCAATAATCTTTTTTTTAATGAAAATTTTGATATCCATCAGTTGATGCTATTAATGCAATATCTTGATGATCTGAAAAAAATTCAGAAGAAACTAAATTTTTATAATGATATCCATCAAAAATATCTTCTATTTGATTACCAATAGTATATTCATAAGTTGAAGTATAATTATGTTGATAAGAAAAAGTTTTTGCACAATCTTTATCCATATATTATGTATAAAATGAATTTATAGGTGACTAATAAACAGCATATTTTTAAGTAATCTGATCAGTTGTAGATTTATAATGAGACTTCTTACAATTTAGATAAGTATTTTTATTAATAAGCTTACTAGTGAATGCTACACATGAATTAATACAATAATTTATAAGAATTAGTTTTAATGAAACTATATCTTTAAGAAGCTTATGAAGTTTAAAAAGAGATATTTCAGAAATTTCTAGAGCTTTAAGAATTTTATTAAATGTAATTTCTGAAATATTATGTTTAACTTTAATTCTAA